CACAGCTAATTCGAACTGGGATTTCTTCTCAGGAGGAGGTGAGGAGCGAGTTAATTCAAACTGGGATTTCTTCTCAGGAGGAGGTGAGGAGCACTGGGATTTCTTCTCAGGAGGAGGTGAGGAGCACTGGGATTTCTTCTCAGGAGGAGGTGAGGAGCACTGGGATTTCTTCTCAGGAGGAGGTGAGGAGCGGAGCTCCAGGCCCACAGTTCTAAGGCACTGACGCTCACTGAGTCAGTCAGTGTTTCTGAGGTAAAGCTGGATGGGAAGATGCGCTACCTTCCCTGGCCTTGGAAATGAGATGTTTTTAAAAATAGACTGAGATCACCAATTAGTCAGAACAACGTACCACATTGAAGTCTAAAAAGTGCTTCACAGAATGCTAACAATATTTTGGCAGTGGTGGTTCAGCATGTGTATCACAGCTATTCTTCCCAGAAAAAGAAACAGCTCCTTTAAGGAAAAATTGTATTCTTAAACTTGGAAGACTTTTATGAAATAAGTCCTGATGTTGGGGGAAGCAAAATATACCGACTTAGTTATGTAATATGTGTCTGTGCACCACAAAGGACTCAGGACAGCGGAGCAATGATGGTGGAATTGCTGGCCCAAAGCTGGCAGGTCCAAGACCCACCAAGAGTCAATGTTCCCGCTCAAGTCAGAAAGCAGAAAACTCCAAAGTCCAGCTCCGGAAGTCAGGCAGGAGAAGCCTTTCGTCAGCTGTTTCCTTCTATTCAAGACTACCATGTGGTCCCCGCCACCCCTCACCCCCGCCCCACAGTAGGATGGTGCTCTGCTTCGCTGGCCTACCAACTCAAATTTAATTTCACCCAGAAACACTGGCACAGTCACACCCAAGATACCAGCTGATTAAACGGCTAATGGGCACCTCATGGCCCAATCAAGTTGACATATTAAAATTAGCCATTGCAAAGATGTTTCTCAAACCCTGCTGTTCAGGTTAATTTTTCCATTCAGCTTATCTTTCAAGTCATCGGTGTCTGCCGCTCATTCGCTCTCGCTCTCATCCTGTCCACATCCTGTTCACCTCGTCACTGACAACCAGGGCACTGGGGGGACTGGTAGCTGCTCAGGCACTTCAAAACCAAGCGACTGTAACTGTGTCCAAATGTGGAGTTGCCTTTCAGAGTGTTCAGTGCCCTCTACATCCCTTCTTTGGCTCTGTCATGTAATCTTAAAGAGACCCAAATGTTTCTGGCCTTTCATTTTGTGTTTCCCAGTGCTAGATATCAAACTCAGAGTCTTGCACACGCTACATGAGTGCTTCACCACTGAGCTGCAACCTCAAGACCCCAAAGCTTGGGGAGGGTGGGGGGGAACCACAAATGATTGCGAAAACCCTGTTTTTAAATTCAATCACTTCCTGTAGTATTTGACATTGCTGATATCATCATTTCCAAAAGCACTGAAGTTTGAAACAGTTTCAAGAAAAGTGTCAGATGTATGTGGTAAAAAGAAATAGTAATTTTACCAGCAATAATCTATAATCAATTTTATATTGTTCAAGTATATGTATGACTTCTCCAACATTGGTAAGAGTCCTACTTTCAAGAAACTGTATTTTTTTAATCAAGTGAAAAACTAAAGGAGTTTACTACTAGATCAATTCAAATCTAATCTGCTGTCATTCATAATCTCTAAATTAGCTATGAATCAAAAACATCATTGACACTTGACATGATAAACTTTTGATAAAATGACAAAAATGCCATGAATGTGAAGCTGATTATTCTCTGATGAAAATTGTATTTTCACTTACCAAGGAATGTTATCTTCTCAAGAGAATCAAGCCCTGAATAAAGACAATACCCTCATAAAGGAGCCTTTTGGGACAAATCTCTGGTGACAACTTTGAATTAATTCATTCCTCAAGCAAGAAAATATTGCACAATCACATTTGTTCTAATCAGAGCACAGTGAGGGGAAACTGATAAAGGAATGCACACTTCCCACTGTTGTTGGTTCCTCTGTTTGTTATCTGCTGCCTCAGAGGTCAATTTATAGATGTTAATCTGCTTGAAAAGAGTTCTTCTGAAAGAAAAATGTAGCTTTCCAAGTGTGAAGGTCCCTCAAAAAGTTAAACATAGAACTACTCTAAAACCCAGTAACTCCACTCCTAGGCATTTATCCAAAATATTATAAACAATTGCGTTGGTGGTATAGTGGTGAGCATAGCTGCCTTCCAAAATATTACAAACAAGGATACAGTAAAGACACCAGCACAACCATGTCCATTGCAGCACTATTCACCATAGCCAATATTCTTCTCAGTGGACAGATGGATCAAAAAACTGTGGTATATATACACAATGGAATTTTACTCATCCATTAGAAAGAATGGTATTTTACCATTTGTAAAGAAAAGGAAAGACTTGGAAAAAATTATGTTAAGTAAAATAAGCCAGACTCAGAAAGACAAAGGATACATGTTTTCCTTTTTTATATGTGGAAGCTAGATTTAGCTTATAAACTTAAAAGTCAATATGTTGGGTGGTATGCAAGCATATACAAATTTACTAACTGAAATATGGTAGATTCAAGCACTTAGCATGATACTGGTGCAAGAACACTGAGGAAATATTAATTGTGTGTTTGTGTGAGAGTTGACTATAGTGAAAACACTGTTAAGAGGTAGAACTAGAATAAGAAGAGTGGAATAAGAAGAGTGAGCAAAATCCATTGCAAGGAATCAGAACTGACAAAGAAAAACACCTCTTTATAAAAGGAACCTCATAAAGCAGCTGAGCAAAAAGAGAGTAATGCGGATGGTACTTCCATAGTCCCATCTGTCTCTCTCTCTGACCAAGACCCATTCTAACCACATAATGAAGAACAGAGCCCAGGAGTTTAAGCAGGTAAGGTATGACACAGATATTCCTTCACCTGCGGCTATCTGGAGAAAGAGAGCTCAGGGTATGGATGGGACAGGGCAGAAATTCCATGACCATTCTGGTTCCAGTATGAGGAAAGGCAAGAATGAACAGAGACACTGGAGAGAAAGAGGGTTCAAGGCCTGACTGGACAACATAGCCAGACCCTGTCTCTAAAACAGGACAGCTGGAAGTGGCACTGAGGCTCAAGTGGTAGAGTATTTGCCTTGAGCTGAAGAGCTCAGGGACAGAGCACAGGTCCAGAGTTCAAGCCCACGACTGACAAAAAATAAAATAAAACAGGATAGCTGGAAATGGAGAAACTTATATCAAGCAAAGACTACTTAGATCTACTACTTAGATTACTACTACAAAGACTACTTAAGATCAGACAAAATAGACTTTAACTCAAGGGATATGAACAGAAATAAAAACTTATTTAAAAATAAGCTTCAAAGAAAGATCAGGTAACAGATTCTTTTTGGAGAAGATGCTATTGACCAGGAGAAAAAGCCAACATGGTGAGTAAAGCAAACTGCTAGTTTGAAAAGAGTTAAGGACTACTACTTTTTGTGTGTGTGTGTACCAGTATTGGGACTTGATCTCAAGGCCTGGGCACTGTCCCTAAGCCTTTTCCCTCAAGGTTGGTGCTTTACCACTTGAACCACAGCTCTGCTTCCAGCTCTTTGGTAGTTAATTAGAGATAAAAGTCTCATGGACTTTCCTCTTGGACTGGCTTGGCCTTGTGATCCTCAGATCTCAGCCTCCTGAGTAGCAAGGATTACAGACATGAGCCATCAGCACTTAGCTCTAATTACTTTTTAAAATATGTAGACAAATATCCATTATCTGAGGCCAACAAAAAGAAACACACTCAGACACAACACACACACACACACACACACACACACACACACACACACACACACACGAAAGAATACACAAAACTATTGATTGATCCTTTTGCACAAAACTATTGATTGATCCCTTTGATCTGATTAAGTTTTGAAAGGGAAAAATCAGCCAAGTACTCTTAGTTTTTATCTAGAGCCTTGAACATTTGAGCCTCATTTTATAAAAATGAATACCTAATCCCTACAAGTCCCACTTTATTCCATCCCTTTCTCCACCCCTAACTTCTTCCTCATCTTTAAGACTGGCTGACAACAGTGCTAGAAGTCAGGAGAGAAATGAGTGGGTTTTGTATGTTATCTGATCACACAAATGGAGGAAATTGATATTTTCTTTCAGACTACACCAAAATAACTATCAGAATGTTTTTTGGCCCTGAAGTGTCGGTCATAACTGAATGAACACTACGTTGATCAGGATGCCTGGCAGAGCAGGACATTCTTAGTCAGTGTGCTCATAGGATTTCAGAATCCCCCTTAACCTCAAAGCACAGCCCCTACTAATCAAGAAGCGCTACAGACTTGTCCCATTATGGAGAAGCGCCCATCAGAACCCAGAAGACACAGAAAGAGAAAGTAATGAACATGAACACACAGGATAAGTGGCTTTACAGAACAACTTTTGTAGTTTACTCTAGATTTTTCTTAAACTACCTACCACAATCATGCAGCACAGTGTGAAACCCCACACTTGGCACATACTTATGAAACTGTGTTTTTATGCCAGTACTGTGTTTTTATGCCAACACTTGAGCTCACTGCCTTGCATTCTCACATGGCTTCTTTTTTTCATTCAAGGCTAGCATTCTACCTCCTGTGCCATACCTCCATTTCTAGTTTTTTGATGGTTAGAGAGAAGAGTCTTAAGACTTGGCAGACATGGAAACATGATCCTCAGATCTCAACCTCCCAAGCAGCTAGGATCACAGGCTACCAGTGCACCATGTAGACTTGTTTTTTAAAACATCTAGGACCTCTGTTTGACCAAGAAAAATCATTCTCCTAGAACAAAAAAAATGGTAGAATATGAACATCACAAAGCAAGCCTAGGGATGTGAATTTCCTCCTTCCAGAAACATGAGATCTGGCAGTCACCTTAACAAACAGCTGGGCCAGTGAGGGATTGTTCAACCATCCTTAACTGATTGGTCTACACTCTACAGAGAGATGCATTAACTACAAACAATGAAAACCTTACCGGGAAGGCAAATGCAAGTGAAATTGCTCCCGTCCTGCTTTTCAACTGCATCGAGACAGCTGGCCTGGTTCTGGCAAGGTTTCTTCTGGCAAGCGTCAAATTCTTCACAGAAAGTTCCCACGTACTGGTCCTCACAGGTGCAGGAGAATGTTGCCTGAAACACAAAAACACAATGTGTGTGTGTTAAGGGGAGTCCTCTAAAAGACAGGCTTTCTGCAACACCCCACATTCACAGGTACCAAGCTCTTTCTCCAAAGATGCCAGCACTGAGTGCCTTAATCCTGTCATATGCCATAGTCTGGCTAAAAGCACAGCTTTAAAAGAAATAGGGTGTGGTGCTCTGCAGTTTTAATTTCAGACATTTATTTTTATTATAGCTCTCTGTTCATATTTATTCCAACTATTTTTAATCTTCCTAAAATTCTTTCTTAAATGGGAAGAACAACTTGTATTAAGTTCAAAATGAAGTTTGGCTGACCCCCAGGAGCAGCAGTTTTCCTAGACACATAAACTGTGCTGTGGACATGAAACGGGATATCATGACAACGAACTAAATCTTCAGCACAGACAGTGCCTGCCACCAAGCTCAGACACCCTTCCAGAGCGAACCAAATCACGTCATAAATGGATCTCAGTGCACAGGCACAGAAATACCCTGAAAATGAGAGAAAATACACAGAATATAATTCTGGAAACCGTCTTGTTTGGCTTATGATAGTAACATTATCTTAGTAAAACACCCTAGCACAAACATCAGATGCAGAGTCATGAGTCTGACTTGAAACCTTCTATGTAAGATGGTTGGAAAATCTCAATATATCTGGGTCTTTCTGCTCCCTTCTTAATACCAGCCTAAGGATAGATTCAGGTCTAAGAAAAACAGACTTGACTCCAAAGCCTATGAGAAACAATGTAGATCACGACAGGAGATTTTTACAAAAAGGAAAGGAAGGGAGACAAAAGAAAAGGGTATTAGTAAGCCTTACTACTTAGGGAAATCCTGACAAACGCTAAATGCCCATTTCTCCTATCATTCCCCAAGCCCAAAACAGACTTTGGTCTATTGTTCCAAAGCTTCTCTCATAGCCACTGTCCCTTATCCTCTTCTCTTCTCCCCAGATCCTTAATTTCTTCTCCTTCCATGGTGCTTTAAAAAAAATTATGATACTGCCTCAACTACCTACCCCAGACAAGCTTCAAACTTGAGATCTTCCTGCATCGACATAGAAACAAGCGAGTACTGCACGCCCAGCTGCACCCTTAATCAGAGAGACTTGCCCCTCTCCTCCAGGTACTGTCAACTGCGATCTCTACCCAGTACCCCAGGAGTGCAACTGGGAACCTTCCTTCCTCCTGGAAGAAGAAAGGGATCCATAATTCTCTTTAGTCTACTTTGTCTCTGGATCAAGTTCTATAGTTCTGGTACATTTCATCATAAGTTTACTTCAGCAGATTTAGCTTTCTTTGTTGCTAATTACATATTAATCCAATTACACATTTTCCAAATTCCATTCCTATACTGCCCATCACACTCGATAGTAATTATTACTGACCAGCCTTTCCTTACCACATGTCACACTGAGATTTCATTATAGGTCAGTCTTCGGTTGAATCTTGGGTTTTAAGAAAACACAAAACCAAACCAAACCAAAGAAAATCCCTACGAACTGCCAACAACAGCAATGGTGCCCTCTCTCCTCCAGGGCACGTGGTTACACTGTCAGCTATGCAAGAAAAACCAAGTTCAAAGGGTGTTTGTAGGCTCTGCCGCCACGGGTAATGCTACAGTAATTTGCTGAGTGTTATCAAGTGCTGTTTTAGGCTCTATAAAAATGACCCATGGTTTTCCTTTGTGACATCTTACTGTACAAAGTGAACATCTGGATTTCCTAGTATTGATTCAACTTTGTGTTCCTGGAAGAAAAATCGTTTAGGTCATTATGTGAAATGATTTTAAAATGGCTGGACTGTATTTGTAGTTAGAGTTCTCACGTCCTCCAATGCCACCCCCTTGCACAAGATCATGTTGTTCTGTTTTTCATTTTTTGGTGGTGGTGGTCATGGCCATGGGGCTTTAACTCGGCAGGTGCTATCCCTGAGCTCTTCTTGTTCAAGACCAGTGCTCTGCCACTTTGAGCCACAGCTCTACTTCTGATTATCTGGTGGTTAACTGGTTATCAAAAGGAAAGTCTCATGGACTTTCCTACCTGGGCTGGCTGTGAACCACAATCCTCATATCTCAGCCCCTGAGTAGCTAGCATTACAGGTGTGAGCCACCCACACCCAGCTAGATCATGTTTTATACCCTACAAGACGTGCCATAAAAAGTGACTGAATGCCTGGTCATGCCTTGACCTCCACCAGCCAACCAAGAGACCAAGTGAAACCAGTAAACGGCGTTTAGCTAGGCCAATCTACCAGGCTTAGTCGGAGTGTTTCTTTTATTAGCTGTGATTATGGTTTTTGTTAAGAGAATATGGCCAATCTTTGTGATATGCATAATCAGGTCTCCTTTAGTTTAAGAACCTATCTCAGAAAACAGTTGGAAAAATAGGAACAGCCTTTCTCTTTATGAGAAAGCTCTATTTCCTGCCTCCTATTTCTACCATCTCTCAGAGCTCTTAGTGGTAAATGGAAATAACATTCTAGCAATGTGTGACCCATCTGGTTTTCTATGATGAGTGCTTTCCTTCCGTGTACGTTTACATACACTTTGGAGCTGAAAGCTACATCAAGGACTGTCAGAAATGTATCATTTTAAGTGGGTAGGGAAACTCCTTTTTTTTTCTAGAACTGTCTTCTAAGGAAAGTCCTGTTCTTGGTTTAAATGCAAAACATAGTACACATTTGCTATTTGCAGGCGTTAGGTCGAGTCCCTTTGGTGAAATGAAGATTTGCGGCTGCCTTTGAAACGTAAATTCTGTGCAAGCCCACTGCATACAATTCTGAAGTGAGCCAGGCTCCATGTCCCGACAAACAACTCTGTGTCATTTGATTTGGCAGCTGTCTTCTAAAATCTACTTGGTTTGGCTCCAGGCATTCCATACTGCAGATGAATTACTTTCGTTGCTTGAAAGATAGATTTTGCATATAATTCATTTCGAGAGTGCCATGGAAAAATATGATGCTTGTACAAATAAATTATTAAAATCCCCAAATCCAGAATCATTGAGAGAGTTTTGATTGAATTTCAAACTAACACAGAAGCTACATGTTTTGTTTTGCTTTATTTTAAACAGGAATCTTGAAAGCTTTAAGCAACTGCCAAGACAATTGCTTTTGACAAAGTAAAACACTGAAAGGGTTCTTCAACACTGAATGACCAATGAAGCAGCTTAACAGATGTTTGTATACATCTCTCTATATTTTTATCATGTTGCCTGTAAGTTAGATTTCCTCCTAAGTGTATTTTCTAAGAACAAATAACACTCCTACTTCTGATCATTTCAAGACTGTTGCCTTATTGTAAGAGATTGGGAATGTTGATTATGGGAGACTGTATTGGTGCATTTTTTTTGAAAACTGTTTATACTAAAGTGTCCTTGAGAATTTTAAGTCTCTGTCTATATTATTAATCTAGGTCCAATAGCTCCACAGGATAGAGGAAAAAGAGATATACTTGAAAATAGTTGTTCAACCCAATCACAGAAAGTTAATTCCTTTTAAAAAGAATTGCATATGGATATGTAAAATATATTTTTCAAGTAAAATAAAAAGGTGACCTTCAGAGATTAATTTTTTAAACCCAATACAAAATCTCAATTTCTACAACAGCTTGAAGTCAAATATTCCGTTTGTACATTAATGAAACTTTCTCAGACAGTGGTGAGAAGCTTACTTTGAAAAGTTCCAGGTTTAAAAAATATTTCATAGAGGCATTCATTAATTTAACAATATTAATTAAGCACCTCCTACATTCTATAGCAGTCGAGTAGTCAGGCCACCAAAGTAGATGTGATTCTCTCATGGAGATTATATTCCAAAACTGTGACTGGTGAGAAACAAAAGAAGCAAGGAACGGAGTCAGCAGGGAATGGCCATGCAGGTGATAAGCACCACGGGGAGGCTGAAGAGGGACAGCAATGGGCACGAGGGCTGTCAAAGGAGGGCGTGCCCCTGTGAGGACAACTGGGCAAAGGCTTCATGGAGATGAGGAAGCTCCCAGGGCGGTGGAAAGATCTAGAGCCCGGAGGGCTAGATTAGAGAAAATGACACTAGTGGGACATGAGCAAAGACAAACGACTGAGTGCAAAGTAGGGTACCACAGTGGTTCTCCACTGGGGCCACGTTACCCCACAGACACACTTGGCCACGGCTACAGATCATTATGGCTGTCGCAACTGGAAGTGTGCCACTAGCAGCTAATGGACAGAACTCAGGGATGCTGCTAAGCATCCAACATGGCACAGGAGGGCCCCCAAAACAAAGGATGTTCCAGTCACAAATATCAATAGAGTCAGGATTGAGAAGTCTGGAGGGAAGGTCTGACAAGCTCAGGACTCAGGTGTGGTATAAAATTTGGGAGAGGTACGAGGAGGAGAATTCATGGGCAAAAGGGACTCCAAAACACTGACCACAGAAATTCTGCTTTATCTTTACATCACCTTGTTTCATATTATATTTTATTTTATTCAGTGAATATCCCAAACCTAAGAACAAATGAATGATCCCACAGCTACCTCTAAGCAGAAGTTGGGTGACCACTTGTTTGGAGTTCAGGAAAGTGTTGCTCCTGCTTCAGTCTTCATGTTAAGAAGTCGTAAGTCATATCCCAAGTATAAGAAGCATCTTTTATTTAACTTGACCTGGATATTGTCTATGATGTACTTATCAGTCCCAATCAATGAGCAAACGTGTGTTGAGCCCATCCTCTGTCAGGCGGTGGGCTCCTAGAGATAGGTACCAATGTGGTGAAGGATGTGGGTACGAAAGATGTGGTGAAGGATGGAAGGAAGCAGAGCCTCTGTGGAGCTTAAATTGTCGTGGAAGAGATGAACACATTCCATGGAAGATGGCATCAGTATACTATGTCACACGTGATAAAGACGGCAAAGAAACAGAGGGAGATAGGGACTGACGGCACGGTGTAGGGTGACTTTTATCTAACAGAGAGAGGAGACAAGTGTTTTTGATAATTGTACATATATAGGATTC